CCCTGGGATGGCCAAAATCAGCCCCCCTGGGATGGCCAAAATCAGCCTCCTGGGCTGAGCTGCCCAACAGCAACTCCCACATCTTGCTCTTCACCATCACCAACATCCCTTGGCATCACCAGGGTGGCACTGTGCCACGCCAAAAAGCAAAGGGATAGTTGCTTTTTCCCTGCCTGCATGTGCAGGGCTGCTGTTCCACCTTCCCACGGGAATATTGCTGGTGCCTCCAAAGTGCAGGAGGGCTGGATGTCACCTGCTGCTTTATGGTGACTGCACCCAGGGCCGTTCCCTCCCTCAGCACAGCTCTGGTGGAGCTGCATGACAGATGCAGGGAAACCAGGGAAAGGTTTCCAAACTGGATCTTTGTCCATAAATGATAAACTCAGCAGATTTTCCCTTGTTAAGGGTGAGTGGAGGCTGAAGGTTGGTCTGAATTTGCCCCCGGGCCAAAAGTGGGTGATGAGGCTGTTGGATCCTCAGCCACCGTGTTTATCTGAGCTCTGTGCCTCGCTGGGGATTGGCTGGATTGCTGCCAAATCCAACGGGCGCCTGGCACGGAGGGCCGGGCTTTGGAAAAAGGGGCCGGTGGGAATCACACGGAGGGCCGGGCTTTGGAAAAAGGGGCCGGTGGGAATCACAGGCAGCAGAGCCAGGCGGCCCCCAAAGGGTCAGGACAGAGCCAGGGTGGGGGAGGATGTCGGAGAAAATGAATATTTAATCACCAGCCCCCCACCCCCGTCCTAAGTTACCTCCCAGCCTGCAATTCCCTGGCCAGAGCCTGGGAGCGATGCCAGAGGGCGGGAGGTGGGTGAATGCCGCTCCTGTGGAAGCGTGGGAAAGGATTGGCAGCTCTACTCATGTGTGTCTCCTTTTGTCTTCCAGCAGAGCCGAGTCCCTCTCTTCAGATGAAAAAGGTACAGGAATTTTCCTTTGGAATGGAAGGGGCAATTTTATAACCACTGGCTTTAAAAAACTCCCTGTAAAACCTTAGTTTGTGGATCAGTTTTGTTTTGATTGTTCATCCTGATTTTTAAAATCCTTTGCTGTTTATTCCCTTTCTCCGAGCTGCTGAGTACAAAATTGCCAAGAGAAGGGTTAAATCTTTTTCAGACTTGTATTCCCTGACTGCTTTTCCCTTTGCAGAGGTGACAACAAGTGGCACAGAGGAGGGAGAGGGCTCCACCGAGGAGCACCTGGCGGGTGAGCACACGTGGGGCTCAGGGCTTTCCTCACCCTTGGGGTGGTGTGGCCGGCCCTGCATCCCAAATTTCCTCACAAAGCACGTCCCAAAGCATGTCCCTTACTTTCCAATGCTGGTTTCTCTTCAACTTGCATTTGTAAGAATAATTTATTAAAGCCACGTTCTGTGCATCCGCACGAGTCACGTCCCTGGTGGGACACACGGCCCCCACCAAGGCTTCTCCCACCTATGTCTATGCCATGGAAAATCCTAATTTAACTGGGATGTGCCACGGGTGAAGCTCCAAAACAATCCCAGGTTGCACAAAACATTAACATTGAATATGTTGAACACCACAGGTACCCTTTAGAAGGGCCTGGGTGACCCCAAAGTTTTCCACGCTGCTGGGATTTGATGCTCTGATGCTCTTCTCTGCCTCAGTATTTTTTCTGCTCTGTTATATTATGTAACCTGCTGACTCACCTGATGTATCCAAACCTCTGGATGTATCCTTGGATCCCTTCCACCTGTACCTAATGGGGTGTTAATTTGTTAAGGAGAGGCCAGTTCCGAAAGCAGCTCCAGCAGCAGCTCAGAGGAGGAGTCAGGTGAGCAAAACATTGTGATTTACCTGTGATCTCCCTCTGGAAACTGATGTTCAGTTTAAACCAGCTGCTTCTCCTGGGAATAGTCTCCCAGTTAGTGTAGAATGTTAACCCAGAGATGGCTTTTCCAATGATATTTTTGGAAGCCAGTGATTTCCAATCAATGATCAAAGGGCAGCAGCTCGTTTCCCTCACCTCACAGACACAATCCCCACGGTTGTTTTTGCAGCACAGCAGTTGTCCAAACACCACGAGGCCATAAATTGCCTTAAAACTTGGCAGCAAAGCTGGCAAAACAGGATGGACAGGAAAAGAATTAAAGGAAGCTGTTGATGAAAACTCGGTGGGGTTTGCACTTCCACAGGTTGTGCCTCCAGCACTTCATTCTGGTTTTGTGCAAGACTATCAGCCTTGAGTTAAATAATTACAATGTTTTCCCTCGTCAGATGTGGAGGAAGGTCAGGGAGTGTGGTTTTATTGTGTCCTTTGTATTTGTCCTGCACAGCATGGGGAAGCCAGCTGGGGTGAGGGATGCAGGAAGGGTGATGTGGGATGGCAGGAGGGATTTAGAGCTGGCCCTGCCATCACCTCCACGCCTTGGGATTGCTGGAGAGCTTCCCCAGGAAGGGGGGGGGCACAGGGGGCACGGGCTTCCATGTGCAGTGGGTGTTCCTGTTGTGATTCCAGCTCCAGGGACTGGAATAGCAACGCCTTGGGAAGCAGCCAGCGCCTGGCAGAGTTGGTTGATGTTTGCCAGGCTGTTGCTGCAGCAAGACCTTCTCTGCCTCTCCCAGCTCTGCCTCTCCAGAGGGTGTTGCTCCTGGGATGGCTTTGGGACAGCCTCCCTCCAGGATCCCTCTCCTTGGGATGCTGGGATGGGAAGCAGCCCGTCCTCACACTCGGCACAGCGGCTCCACCACCCACCTGCTCCAAAATCCCCCCTCCAGGCTCCGAGCCTGAGGTGTCACCTCCTCTTCCATTCAGTCATTTGGGAATCACCAAGGAGGATCCAGGCACTTCCAAATCATTTTAGGGACAAACACACTGCAAACAGCATATTTGTGTCTGTGTTTTCCCTGCTCCCTGGCAAGGCTGGTGTGGTTTCCCTGCCACTGGTTGAACTTTGTCCTTGGCACAACGAGGCTCATCCTGGGGATGAATATTTTTTTTTTTTAACTGCTGTGAAAATTTCCAGTAATTTGGGCAACTTCTGAGCTTTTGGCAAAAGTTGTATCCTGATGATCAGCTTCATTCCCAAGCTGTGCAAAGCCTGCAAGGACTCAGTCTCGGGAATGTTTTCCTTAAGGCTTTATGAATTTAAGCAAATTAAACTGGGGGGGGTTGTCCTGGGGGAATGAGGAATGTTCTCCTTAAAGTGTTATGAATTTAAGCAAATTAAACTGGGGAAAAAAACCTGCTGGAGACTGAGGTATTTGCTGCAAACTTCTTTTTTCTAGATGAAGAACAGGAGGAGAAGGAATCTCCACCGAGCTGCAATGAATCAGGTAGGAACAGATCTCCTGAGAGTTTATTTTTTTTTTTTTTGCCTGACTGTTTAATTACTTTGCTTTTAACGAGCTCATCTTCCTCTTTTCCCACTAGGAGAGAAATGCCTGCCACCCTGTGAGCACTGCAGAAATGAAAATGTAGGTTTAGAAGAAAAAAAACCCAACTCGTATATTTTGCATGAGATAATTTGCAACTTGTAATTCCTCTCTCTCACCACCTTTTTAAAGATGTATTTTTTTTTTTACATCTATTTATAGGACCAGAAGGAGGAAGTGACCCCAAGGAGACTTGCTGGAGGACAATTTGTGTATGGATTTTTTTTTAATATATTGGGTATAAATTTACATTGTTGTCACCAAGATGCTTCAGTCTTTGGTTTAAGTGGGAAAATGGTAATTTGCTGCACAAATGCATTTGGAGATATAGTGGAAGATATCCCCAAATCCTTAAAAATAAGCAATTTAGAGCAGCTGCCTGTGCTGTCTCCAGATCCTGGTCCAAGAAAACTCTTGGGAGGGTTTCCTGCCTCATCTTGCTGCAGTAATTAACATCAGGCACATTTTTATGTGCTCATTTTAGTCTGAACACACATGAGAGATCTTGCCCTGCTTCATCCTCCCTGTTAGCAGTGACCTTGCATTTTTCCATGGATCCCAGCTTTATTCTCCCTCTCTCTGCCTTGGGATTGTCCTCAGCGTGGGATGTTGGTGTCCACGTATCCTTTGGTGTTCTCCACGTTGGATGTTGGAGTTGTCCACGCGCAGTGTTGGCTCTGACATCGAGTCTGAGCCTTTTGTGTGGCAGCAGCTGCCTCGTGCAGCAAATATTCTGCAAAATGCTCATTACAGCTGCTTTGCCTACACTGGCTGGGCCCTGCCAGCATTTAACTGGCAGCTAAAACACAGAGGCAGGAGACAAAAACCTTGTTGTGGCTCCTGTGCCGTCCAGATAAAGTGCTGGGGAGGGACTTTCTCCGTTATCCCTCCCAACCCACATTTCCACGGGGGTTTTTTGGCGGCGGAAGCCGAGCTAACCCGTGTCTCTGCCCGCCCCAGGCTGCAGCTGGACGCGGAGGGGACCTACCAGTGCAGCCTCACGGGCTTGATCTTCGAGGTGACGGGCTCTGTGAGGATCACCTACTCCCTGCTGTCCTGGAGCAAGTACGCCAGCCTGGTGGAAAAACCATGGATCGTGGGCGGGCCCCTCTTCGACGTGCGCTGCGACTCGGCCCCCGCCCTCACCTCCATCCAGTTCCCGCACTCCCTGTGCCTCGGGGGTGAGTGCCTGGGGGGAGTGGGAGGTGGGATGGGGCTGTTCCTGCAGCGGGAGGTGCTGAGCAGCCCCGTTGTCCCCCCAGATCATGGTGCCGGAATGGCCTTCAAGGTGCTGCACGTCAAGGGCGAGGGCGCGGCCATCGAGCCCTCGGCCGCCTACTCGGCGTCGCACGTGAGGTGGGTGGTGAGCTCCCTGTCGCCCGTGGGGCCCCTCATCCAGAGCCAGGAGCCTGTGCAGTACCACGGGGCTGTCATCCTCTACAAAGCCGTGGATGAACATCCCTCCCTGTCCTTCCGGGTCTACGTGGCCACGAACAACGACTCCTTCATAAAGGTGCGACCCGTGTCGAGTGGGACACACCACGGGGCTGGGGGTGGGCAGGGTGGGATGTGGAATCGTGGAATGCTTTGGTTTTGGTCCCCTGTGGGCAGGGACACCTTCCACTAGAGCAGCTGCCCTGTCCAGCCTGGCCTGGGACGCTTCCAGGGATGGGGATTCCAAGGGATGCCCTTCTCTTGCCTCAGTGGTTGCATGCAAAGATATCCATCTCTCCATAATGAGACTTCCATGCTGAGATGTGCCAAGTTAGGGCATGGTATTTAAGTAATTATACTGGCCAAGGTGCATGATATTTAAGTGATTATATTGGCCAACTTGCCTGCTTCAGCTCTTCTCCCAAATTCCACTAATTAACAATGACTCCTTCATAAAGGTGCCGGCCTGTGTTGGGTGGGACAATACAGACACACTGCGGGGCTGGGGGTGGGGGGTGGGATCATAGAATGCTTTGGTTTTGGTCCCCCGTGGGCAGGGGCACCTTCCACTAGAGCAGCTGCCCTGTCCAGCCCGACCTGGGACGCTTCTAGGGATGGGGATGCCCTTCTCTCACCTCAGTGGTTGCATGCAAAGACATCCATCTCTCCATAATGAGACTTCCATGCTGAGATGTGCCAAGTTAGGGCATGGTATTTAAGTAATTATACTGGCCAAGGTGCATGATGTTTAAGTAATTGTATTGGCCAACTTTGCTCTTCTCCCAAATTCCACTAATGAACCTCTGCAGTATCTGGTACTGACAGAACTGTCTCCTAACCCAGAGGATTTTCAGGAAGCTCCTCATAACCTTCTCCACTGCTGTGCTTTTCACATCTGTTTCATATAAATCACCTAAAAATACCTACAGATGATATGGCAGGGCAGCAACAAAAGTGGAATTTGCCATGGAGGCAATTCAACCACTAAGACAAATCTATTTGCTTTGCCAGAGGCCATCCAAGACCTGTACAAGTTTGTACATTCCCACTGAAAAGTACCTGGGAATTTGGGAAGGCAGCTGACAGTGAATTTATCCACGTGCCTCCAGTTTTTCCTGCTGCCAAAGATCACGTCAGAAATAACCTCAGAGGAGGACAGAGCAGAGAGAAAAGAGAGGACGTGGAACTCAACCAGGATAAAATTGCAGCTTTACAGAATTCCTTGCAATGGAAAGATAATTAGGAAGTTGGTGTTGTACTGATTATTCAGATCTAGCTGGGCAGGGGCTGTGTCAGGAACATGACTTTATTTTACCCTGATACAGTGAGGACAGGGACAAATAACCTTCCTTTTATTCAAGGTTGCAAACTCTTTTATCTCATTTCACCCCCGCAAACACAGGTTTGAAATGTTGATTTCTTTGCTGAAACGAGTAACCTCGAAACCTTATTTTTAAATTTTAGGACATCTCAAAAGCTGTCAAACATTCAAATAAGAAGTTTGTTAAGATTGACAAGCCCCCTGTGTGCCAAAAATTACTCCAGAATGGAAAGAGGTACAGATTGGTTTGTGAGCCAGAAGCTGAAATAACTCCTGAGGTAAGTCCCTCAAACGACCCTCACTTCCTGCATTGCAGCTTCATGGAAATATGGCCCAAAAAGTCTTTCCCTGTACATTCCTGCACTGGCATTAAGGCCATTTTTCACATTCTATTTGCCTCTTAGAGCCCTAAAATTTTGGATGAAATCCTGGTGCTACAGCAGCAGAACTTTGAGGGGGTTGGAGTTGGGCTCTGTCCCAATTGCCTCCTCTTTATGTTTTGGGTAAATATTGATTTTAAAAACATTTATGTTGTGTAGGAAATTGAATTTGTTGATGGATCACTCTTGAAACTGAAGAGTTACATTGAAGTGTATGTGGAGAAACCTGATGAGTTCACCTTGTCTCTGGTTGAGCTGGACTCTGATGCAACTGTCTGGAAAGCAAAACTCCGAGAACGTGAGTCTTTGGGCTCCAGGGAATCATGGAATGATTTGGAAGGGACCTTAAAGACCATCTACTTCCAACCCCCCTGCATATTACTGCATATTACAATAAATTATTCCATGTATATATAATATAACTTTGCAAATTATTGCACTGTAACATACAGTTCTGTTGCCTATTTTGATGTGCTGCAGCACGTTGAGTGAAAGGGGAAAAAAATCTCATTATATAAAAGCTCCTCTCAGGGGTTGGAAGCCACCCAACAGCTTTGGTTTGTGCCTGAGAATCATTGAAGGTTGGGCATAAAAATTGGGAATTCATCCCTCACCTTTTGTTTCCTCTGCCAACTCTTTCCAGGGGACTGGATCCATTATGATCAGAACAAAAACGAGCAGAAGAGAAGCACAGGCAGTAAGTCAGCTTGGAGATGTTGGGGTTGGAGTGGCTTGTTCTCTGTGCCCTTCCCTTGCTCCTGTAGCTCAGGAGATGTGACATGAGTGACTTCACCTCTTGCTCCCTTCTCAGGTGTCAAAAAAAGGAAACCAGCCCTCAGCATTTTGGAAGAAGGGGGACTTTGCAGCAAAAAGCAAAAGACTGGTGGCACTGCAGGTACAGCCTTTGTGTGTCCTTTAAAATAATCTGTGTGGGTTTTTTTGTGTCCTGTGGGACTGAGGGGAGACCTCACTGCAGTTCCAACTCCCTGGGCAGGGGCAGAGGAGGACCAGGGACAGCAGCCAGGGAATGGCTGGAGCTGTGTCAGGGCAGGCTCAGGTTGGATCTCAGGCAAAGGTTCTTCCCCCAGAGGGTGGTTGGGCACTGCCCAGGCTCCCCAGGGCAGTGGGCACAGCCCCAAGGCTGCCAGAGCTCCAGGAGGGTTTGGATGATGCTCTGGGACACAGAGGGTGACTCTGGGGATGTTCCTGTGCAGGGCTGAGGGTTGGACTGGATGGTCCTTGTGGGTCCCTCCCAACTCAGCACATCCTGTGATCCTGTGAAACTGAGCTCACTTGTTTAAAGACTTCCACAAATCCCCGCCTGGAATGCTCCAGGCTTGGGGAAGAGCAGTTGGAAAGCTGCCCATGGGAAGAGGACCTGGGTGTAGGGGTCAACAGTGGCTGAACATGAGCCAGTGTGTGCCCAGGTGGGCAAGGAGGCCGATGGCACCTGGCTGGGATCAGGAATACTGAGGCAGCAGGACCAGAGAAGTGATTTTTTTCCCCCTGGGGAGGCCCCACCTCGAGTCCTGAGGACAGTTCTGGGCCCCTCATGACAAGGACATTGAGGGGCTGGAGTGTGTCCTGGGAAGGGAACGGAGCTGGGAAGGGGCTGGAGCACCAGGAGAACTGAGGGAGCTGGGGGGGCTCAGCCTGGAGCAAAGGAGGCTCAGGGGGGACCTTCTGGCTCTGCAACCCCCTGACAGGAGGGGAGATCCAAGGGAGTCAGGCTCTGCTCCCAGGGAACAAGGGACAGGAGGAGAGGAAAGTTGTGCCAGGGGAGGTTTAGGTTGGATATTAGGAAGAATGTCCATGTCTTTTCAGATGGAATTGGAACAAAAATCCTGACGGACCAGCAGCTGATGGTGGTGGCAAAGCAGTTGGGGCGGCAGTGGAAGGAAATCTCCATCGAGTGTCTCGAGATGGAGATGAAGGACATCGAGGAGATCCAGGGCATGGAGGACGAAGTCAACATGCAAAAATTCCTGGTGCTGAGGAAGTGGAGGGACAGACAGCAAAGCAATGGCACTGCAGAAGCTCTGCAGAGGAGTCTGGGTGATAAAGGATCCTATGAGCTGGAGCTGATGCTGCAAGGTATCTCCCTCTGGGTTTGTTGAATCCCATCCCTGTTTGTTGAATCCCATCTCAGCTGTGTTTTAAGAATTCCCATCAGAGAATTCACCAAATCCCCAGTGCATGGGTGACTGTGTAGGTCAAAATTGTCTCCTTTGGGTTATCAGAGTGATTTTCTTTTTCATGGCGTTTTTATCATTCCCTTCGAAAATCGAAAATAAATAAAAAACGAAAAAGAAATTAAAAACTGATAAAATGAAGAATATTTCTGCACTGACTGTGTTGAGAGCACTCTCAGCATGATCTGGCTGTCCTGGCCAAGCAGATCAGTGTTATGCACCCAAACCAATTCTTGCTCTTCTCTGGAAGTCCCAAGAGGAGATGTTTGAGTCTTTATTCTTATGTATTTTTATTTGTTCTTATGTATTCTTCTGTATTTATGTATTTTAATTAACACCTTTCCCTGACTGATGACTTAGTAGTTCTGAGAACTGTTGGAATTTGCTGGCCTTTGAGGTCCCTTCCAACCCAGACCATTCCACGATTCTATGAACCAGCCGAGGGGAATTGTCCTCAAACTAAACGTGTTTTTTTTCTGCAACAGCAAAACCTTGTTCTTTTTCAATTCCTTAACCAGGACAAGAGAAAATGGCCTCAGGTTGTGCCAGGGGAGGCTTAGGTTGGATATTAGGAAAAATGTCTTCATGGAAAGGGTTGTGAAGCCCTGGCAGAGGGTCAAGTCCCCATCCCTGGAGGGATTTAAAAGCCCTGTGGATGTGGCACTTGGGGACATGAGTTGGTGGTGGCCTTGGCAGTGCTGGTTGGCCTTGATGGTCTTAGAGGTCTTTCCCAACCTGATTCCATGCCTAATTCTCCCTAAAAACAACCTGGCTGTGAAAGGGTGGAGAGCTGTCCCTCCCAAACCTGTCTGTGCCCCAGCCTTGAGCTCCCTCGGGGGGATTTAATACATTTATTACTCAACTTGGAGACTTTTTAAATGGATTTTAAATGGATTTTAATTCACCTTGGATACTGCAGTGACTTCCAGGGCTCAGATAACCCCCGTGTGTTTGTGTGTTTTCCTTCCCTCAGGTTTCTCGGCTCAGTGCTGAGCTGGAAGGATCTGCAGTGGGAGCTGCCCCAATCCAGCCATTCTGCTCCTCTGGGATCTTTGCTGGGATTCAGGAAGGAGGATGCAAAGCATCATCACTCAGAGGAAAGGTTGGGCTGGATCTTCTCAAGGAATGTGAATGAAATTTTGGATATAAGCCACTTCCAAGACTTCCAGGAGCTGTGGATCCCGATATCTCCGGGCTTCGCCCGCAGGGAATTCCACCACTGCCGCCTCCTTTGAGCCTCTCCTAAAAGATGGGAACACTGGAAGAAACCAGGTTGAATTGTTCGCTCCAGGATCGTACCTGGGAAATATTTTCATTTACATCAGGGAAAAACCGGGAGAAAAGCTACACAGGAACTTTCATCCCCTTAAAAACCCCACATTGAACTGCCCGAATCGGGAGGTACCTTGGATTTCTCATGGATGTCCAAAATCAGGGAAGGATAATCCTAAACTTGCAGCCAGATTCCTTTGCATAATCACTGTGTATATATAATTCCTGTATATACTCCTGTACATTCAGTCCTTGTTAAGCTGTGGTTCTCTTCTCTAAAAACCCCAAAGACTGATTTCACAGAAGCACCACTATGTACTCCAGGCAGCTTGGAATTTTCCCTGGGAATTTCTTTGCTACTCTTCTCTGTATAGTCTGTATTTTTACGAGACAGTTGTTTTTTTTTTACGTTGTATAATTTGTTTTTTATATGAGAAACTTTTTCTACTTTTTACTTGATTCGTTTTAACTCGAATTAGGTGCTTTAAACCACCATGGGAGGAGCCAGAATCCCTGGGAAGGCCCCCCACGTGCTACAGAATTGGAAAAGATTTGGGAATAACGTGATTTGCAGAAGAGAGCGGTGACCTGATCCGGGATTGTCTGATTTTTAAGGACATGGGATGGTTGGGATCACCTTCCTCTGAGTGTGTTCGTGAAAGAAAAAAGCAAACTTTAAAAAAAATAAGGATTAAAGGGGAACCATTGACACTATTTACATATGATTTTGGATTTACTTTTTAATTTTAGCTGCTGGGTGAAGTGTTGTGAGGTCGTTGCCATCTCTCCAAGCCTCTGCTGCTGCAGCATCTCATTCCACACCTTCCACTATCCCAGGTTACTCCAAGCCCCATCCAACCCAATCCAAGGTGGAAACAGGATTTTAAAATATCCCAGTTACTTTTATGTGCCAGCAATATTCCAAGTATTTTAAAAGTTATGTCTCCAGGAAGAACAAAGAAGTCACTACGATTTTTAAGCCGATTTGAATTTTATTAGGCAATAAATAGAATAAATAAGAAATATAATATATCATAAATAAATCATAGAATAGGATATCCTGAGTTGGAAGGGAGCCACGAGGAAATGGGTTATTATAAATAGGTCTCAACTGGGGAAAAATAAGCTGAATAAATAAAATATGATAAATTACAGTCGGTGCTAAAATCTAGCTTATTTCCTAGAAATGTAGAAGTTTAACATCACAGTTCCAAAGGCACTGGCACAGCTCCCTAAAAAAAATCATTTATGGAAACTGTGACTATTAAAAATTCCTTTTAAACCCCCCCCAGCACGTGGCAGGGGGTTGATCCCACTGTTTTTTTTTCTCTCCGAGGAATCCTTGGGTGGATTTGCTGAGGGTGCTCACAGGGAGCTCTCCGGGGAGCTCAGGAAGTTCATCATCCTGGAGATGGTGAGGGAGCGGATCCGGAGGGCCTGGAGCACCCAGCACAGCCGCAGCCTCTCCTGGAATGACGCCGGTCCCGCTCCCGCCAGCGGCTCCGGAACGTTCCGGCTGCTGTCCAGGGCCTGGAACAGGGAAAGGGGTTTTACAACCATCCCACCCATCCCAAAACCTCCACAGGGCTTTTTTACCCCCCCCATGGATAAAGGGTAAGATTTAGGAATAAGAGGGTGTTTGTATAAGGGAAACATTAGAAATGTTTAATTGTGTCGTTGGTAGGCCGGGAATGGAATTGGAATTATTCAATTATTTAATTATTTAATTGTGTCGTTGGTAGGCCGAGGATGGAATTGGAATTATTCAATTATTTAATTAATATATTGAATTGTGTCATTGGTAGGCCGAGGATGG